ATGTAGGAGACTGGAGTGGCTTGAAAGGTCCTTTCTCACCATGGGGAGTGGCCATTTTTGGTCTTACCGACCTTTTATTACCAAAAGGTCAAATTCACAAGGAGAAAGTCGACAATGATACAAAGCATGGCCTTCATTGCTTTCCATCTTCTCAGCATATTACTCCAGGAAAAACCACAAGCTACTTTGTATCAGTGCTTCACATGTCGTTAATAGAGACCATACACTCTGACGAACCCGGGGAATCGGAGTGGTCCGTTCAAAAAGGATTAAAGTTATTTTCATTGTTGTTCCCTTCCTGGCACATCCCATATGTTCCTGTGCTATATGATAGAGATGGTCCTCCTCTAATGGTAGCTGAGGATATCCTAGGGAAGCCTCGTAGAGCTATTGTCTATTCCGGTTGGTACATAACGCGTAATAATGCTGAAATCAGTGAGTCTGATTCCAAAAAGATCTCGCCGCATCTTAGCAAATCTTTTCAATCTTTTTTTGAGTCTTTTTCTTCAGAGCTTGAGACATTAGTGTTTCTACCACCAGCTGTTCTCAAGGAAGATGGAGGCAATTATTCGCCTTTTAGTGTCTCTACTTCAACTCTCATCCAATCAATTGCTTTATCACTGCCTGTACTGAAGCACCTCTCCATTAGCATGCATGCTTGTGATATTAAATGTCTATTTTTGCTATCAGACGTATTGCCCTCTTTATATCACAGCCTCACTACTCTTCATCTCAAAATTGTGAGACCGAAATTCCCAGAGCCTTCATTAGGCCTTGGGCCAGCTTTGTGTGACCTTTACAAGAAGAGCCAAGTCTTCCAGGATTTGATTCTCCAGGGATTGTTCTTTGATAAAGGAGAGTTTGTAAGCCTCATATTGTCTTACTTGACCACAGCTAAATGTTCAGCTGATATGCAAGAATCTGTGACACTCCGTAATATAAAAGTCAGCAGTGGCAGCAGCGTAGAGATTGAGAAGCAAGTGATGCCTCAAAATTGCAACAAGTCTTTGTTTGTTTATCGTCTCCTTGACATTGAACCACTTAACTTTGCTCTGTCAGCTTTCGATGAGATAAGATTGAACACCATCTCTTTCACCTAGATTCTGATACCATCAGATTTGAAGATCATTGCCGATACCGTTAGGATAAAGAGGATTCCACATCATAGCAATGCTTCCTATATTTGGCTGATTATCCACTCAAATCTGTAGCAATTTTAAAGATTTTTTTCTTTTTTAATCCTTTTCATAGTTAAAATTTTAAGTAAGATGCTTTAGTTTTATGGGTACTCAGTCAAAATTAATTTATGATTAGTACAGGCCACGCCCAAATGATAAAACTCCTCCTTTTTAAAGATGGCGTCATTTGATGAAGATCAATTTCCTCTCTCCCTCCAATCTCATTGCTTGTTGACTATCATTAGCCACTGTGCTACATATCCAGTGGAAACTCTTTCTCTTCTCCCTCCTCGTCTGAGAGTTTTAATAGCACACAACGTTTCCCCGTATGATCTACACAGACTGGAACAAGGAACCTTTTTTAAAGGCCTAGAGAGTCGAGTACAAATCCAGGATTTGTGGAAGAGACGCTATGAGAACACTTTACTTAAATTTTCTAACATTTCAGGTCTAGATATAGACATGGAGCTCCACCATCCTTCCCCCTCCACCCCCCTCTCTCTCTCTTGGAAGGATCGCTACTTGCTGGCCTGTTTGTTAAATTTCCCTCGGATTTACCCCAATGTAGGAGATGGAAGTGGCTTGAAACGTCCTTTCTCACCATGGGGAGTGGCAATTTTCGGTCTAACCGACCTTTTATTACCAAAAGGTCAAATTCACAAGGAGAAAGTCGACAATGATACAAAGCATGGCCTTCATTGCTTTCCATCTTCTCAGCGTATTACTCCAGGAAAAACCACAAGCTACTTTGTATCAGTGCTTCACATGTCGTTAATAGAGACCATGCATTCTGACGAACCCGGGGAA